CTGGAGGGCAATGGGGTGATCTCAGCTCACCGCAGCCTCTGCCTCCTGGGTTCAAGCAATTCTCCTGCCTCAGCCTCCCAAGTAGCTGTGATTACAGGCACGCCACCATGCCCAGCTAGTTTTTGTATTTTTAGTAGAGGCAGGGTTTCACCATGTTGGCCAGGCTGGTCTCAAATTCCTGATGTTGTGATCTGTCCACTGTGGCCTCCCAAAGTGCTGATATTACAGATGTGAGTCACCGTGCCTGGCCTAGTTTGATGTTTTTGATGAAATGTAGTGCATTTTATCCAGGACAGTTTACACTTCATTGAATCGAAGGCTTTGCATTTTCCTGTCTTCCCTGGATATGAGGCGGCTGGATTTGACAGTGACCTGACATGATCAGGGGTCGCAGGTGCCCTGTTGTCAGCTCTGAGGAGCAGTGGCTGTTATCCACGTGCCACCAGAGGTGCCTGGACTGAGTGTGATAAATGATATCTACCCTCCAGCCCTGCTTGCCACAGTCACATGCACGTGGCCAATCTGGACTCACTTTCCGTTTGCAGGAAAGGAGGCTTCTTCTCAGGGGTGGATGGTTTTGGGGCCTTCTCATTGTCTTCTGGGAGTGGAGGCCAGCATCAGACCCAGTCTCCTGCCAGGGCCACAGCCAGCGCCTGGGCTCATTCTGCCCTCTGTAATCCTGTTTGCTCCTGTGTGAAATGACAGCTGTGATGCGTGGCCTGCAGGTGGTGAGAGTGTGGGACGCGCCTCACAGAGCATGTTTCCCACTCCAGGGGACATCAGAAAGGGAGTCTCAGGTTCCCTCTCCGCCTTCCTCTCCCACCCGCAGGATGCCCAGCTTCGTGGAGCCACCTGACATCATGAAGAAACTGCCCTGGGTAGAAAACTACTGGCTAGAGGATATATTGCTGGCCAAGCCCAAAGTGACCCAGTACTGCCTGATCTGCATGAAGGAAAGCTACACCAACTTCCACATCGACTTGGGGCACCTCCGCCTGGTACCACGTGTTCAAGGTAAGCCACGCCCCTTGGGACACCTCAACTGTGCCGTGGCCACGACCCATCTGCAAGATTGTCTGCAGTCCTGCAAGCCCTGACTGTGGCCAAGATGCCACTCCCCAGAGGGCCCTTGGACCATCCATCCCTGGGACAGGAGGCCATGGAGACATCCCTGGATGGAGGGGCAGGGGTGCATGTGGGATCAGATAAGCGCACAAATGTCTCATTTTTCTAATGGGATTCAGGCTCAATAACCATCAGATGAGGCCGCTGGGTGACTGTGCACTTAGAGGAGAAAGGGGGGTGTTGTGAAGACATCCTGGAAGAGGGGCCAGCCATAGCCAGGGTGCTGCACAGGAGCCAGCGGGCAGGATGAGGGCATCTGAGCAGATGGGGATGGCTAGGAGCCTCACCATCGAGGCCGAGAGAGGGAAGCCAGAAAAGCAGAAGAAAAATGAAGATTAGCAAAAGAAACAAAGGAAACCCTAAGCTGTGGGCTCCCCTCGCTGCTCACTGAGCTTCTCCAGACCGGCTGTAGCTGTAGCTGGGGGTGGATGGGTGTGTGGATCCCACCTCTGGGAGGCCTTGAGCAAGTCACTGGAGCACCCCCAGAACCTGCCTTGGCTCCACTGCCGTAGGACAGGGGTCTCTCTGCTCCCAGTGCAGAACCCCTCCCGGGACCAGGCATAAGACTGACTGGAACACAGTGGCATCATTTGACACAGCCTGGGATCCAAGTGGCTCTCAAGAGTGGAGCTACCTGGAATGCTTTTGACAGCCAGTTGCAGCTTTATTTGCAGCCTAGGCATCCACACCATTTGTAGTGCCTCAAAACAATGTAATGTGGGATTATGGGCTTTAGCCCTTGAGTATGCTGGGGGCCCAGGTACCCAGAATCTTCCTAACACGCACACTTCTGAATTGCAAAGCCACTGTGTCCTCAGTGGTGCAGGTAGGAGTCGTGGACCTGAACAGGGTACTTTTCACATCAGGACCTATCACTTGCACCCCCACCCCATGTACTGGCATGGGCGGCTTTGCCAACAGGCTCTCTTGTCAGGGGGAGAGAACCTTCTGTCTCATCAGGCCAGCCTCAGCCAACATCTGTGTGAGTGCTGGTGGTCTGCCTCTAACCACAGCGAGATGTTCTTTGCCCACCAGGTCGACAAATGCTACAAGTGCATCATCAAGCAGGGCCAGAGCCTCTTCATTCCCTCAGGTGAGTGCTGGCAGCTTTGGGGACTGTGTCCTAGGGCTTGCAGGCCCTCATCAAGGTTACTGGCCTCTCAGGCCGTGTCCCCACCATGGGATCTCTTGGCATCCCTGGCATGCCTGCCTCCTTGTCCAGAGCTTAATGCCATCCTAGCCCAGTCCCTGCAGAGGGACCAGCAGTGGGGCTTGTGCTGTCTGCTCAGCATGGGCACTCATCACCACTGAGGACACCTTGGAGCTGCACAGCCAGTCAGGCCCCTTCACAGCCTGGCTGGGCTCACTGTGACTGAGCCCACGGCTGGAGACCCAGCTCAGAGAGTCTTGTGTGGGAACAGCAGCCACGACATCAGAACCAGCGAGGGAAGAGGGTGCTAGCTGCTCATTAAGTCAATATTGGGGGATATTTTGAGTCTGTGCTGAAGGAGAAAGCCCGTCATGAGCCACTTTGTGCCCCTAGATGACATTAGAACAAATCCCAGATATTCTGCTGTTTCAATAAATATTCTACTATTTCTGAAGGACTTCCTTTCCTTCTAAAATAACATAGCTACAATACTGTTCCCACATCTTGAAAAAATGAACAATTAACAGCAATTCCCTAGCAATAGCCAATTGGCGTTCAGATTTTCACATTGTTTTATAGGGTTTTTTTTTTCTCATTTTAAGTAAGTATCAAACTGAGGCCCTCACACTTTAATGATTTATAAGCTTCAGAATCTTCTGTAATCTATGAGTTCCTCCTCCTCCCATCCGTTTCCTCACAGTCACAGCTACTTAGGAAAGAGCTGTGGATTTCCCAGGGTCTGGCCCAAGCTGTCTCCAAGGATAACCTGGGATCCAGTCCCAACTCTGGTGGTGATGTAGCTGCCCTGGCCTTGTCTCCTGGCCTGAGTGTGGTTGGGAGGCGGGGGAGCTGGACATAGGCTGGAGCTTCCTCTCTCTGTCTGAGTACTGCCCTCATGTGGCCTGAGCGAGTCCCCTCAGCGCTGGGCCTCGGTTTCCCTGTCTGTGTGGTGCAGGGCTGGACTGACTAGTCTGTGCTGCCTCAGATGCAATCTCTCCCCAACTCCCTTCCATGGAGCCCGGGGTGGGGCTAGGGCCAGAGAGCTTCTCCCAGGGAGGCTCCAGGCTGCTGGTGAAGCTGCAGAGGTGGACAGCGCACCAAGGCACAGGCGGGCAGGAGCTGGAGCCTGAGCTGGGCCTGGAAAGGCCTGTGCTGGTCTCTGTTGCTCCCTGATTTGCAGCCATGAGAAGCCCCTTCATGGGAGCCAGGTGAGGTGCCAGCCACTCCTGTCTCTCTCCCAGGCTGGATCTATGTCACACTCACCCCTGTGGACTGCCTGGCCCTCACAGGACATTTTCTCCACAGCCTGAACGTGGAGATGCAGAGGAGGTAGTGCCTCGTGTGCTGTCTGCCCTCAGGCTCTGTAGGGTAGGGTCCTCCCTCTAGCTGGGTCGGTGTGGGACACCTCAGGCTAAACACTGGCTCACCCTGCCTGTGGTGACCTGGACATGACTGTCAGCCTTGATGGGCCTCTTCGTGATGTGGAGGGAAGGAGGAGGTGGGCTCTGGGGTCATACAGGCCGGCTCTTCGAGTCATCTGGCTGCTGGACGGTCATAGTTGCCCTTGGTGGGGTTGGGGTTGCTTAAAAGGCTGCTTCTTTCTCTTCTCAGGCACTGACAGAACTCTCATGGGCCCCAAGGTGTGCAGCCACCCAGGGGCAATTGTCGCCTGGTCCACCTCAGCTATACAGGGCCCTGTGGGGAAGCCTGAACTGGCGTGCCTGGGACCTGGATCCACCCCCAGCATTACCTGCTTGATGGTCAGTGCACTGAAAGCGGCTATTTGGTGGCTTCCAGAGCATATGAAGTGTAAAGGATGTTGAAACTGGGCAGCATGACTCAGTTTTCCAGCTTCAAAACTGCCTGCTGGTATATGGACGAACACCTGCTGGAGGCGTTCAAACGTACTGGTCACTCCAGGGTGGGCGTCCACGCCTGGGGCTCTTGACTGTGGGGGCGGCCAGACCTAGCTGAGGGCTATCTGGGTGTGAGTGCCGCCTTCGTGTGGCCTGAGTAGGTCCCCTTGGCACTCAACTTGCTGGGCCTCAGTTTCCCCATCTATATAATGCAGGAGCAGGTTGAGCAGGCTGGGCCTCTCCTGATTGGACTGTCTCTTGTTTTAGAAAACACTGGGCTGTGCGTTGAGAGTGGTGAGTGTGCATGGCCTTGGTGCCCAAGTATCGATCACAGCTGCTCCACCCTCCATTCTTGCCTCGATTGGGAAGGCGGGGCCCTGTGTCTGTCACCAGCTGAGGAGAGGGTGTGAGTGGGCTCTGGGTCCACTTAGGATCCCTCAGGGCTGTGGCAGCTGGACTGTGAGGCAGGCTTGTGGCTCACTCCTGGTGCTCTGTGGAGGCACTGTGGCATCCCTGGGCCACCCCTTATAAGTCAGGTACTGCCTGGCCACCCTCAGAGATGAGAGCAGATGGCTTTCGGCAGCCACTACCCTGTTCAGGTCTCAAGACTCTGCTCAGCAGCATGAGGGAACCTGCAGGAGGATTTGCATTATGTGTGATTTCCTTTCTCGCTGTGCCCTTCACCGGAAGTTGCTTAGTTACTCTTTTTTGGTTCTGATAGCAGCCAAGAGTTCTTTTATCCAGAATCCTTTGCATTCTGTCCCTAGTTTGAGAAGGAAAAATGGTCCTTAATCATGGCTGGCCAGGTTTCAGTAAGATTTTCTTATTACTCCCTAAACGTGGAGCCGTACAAATAAGGTTTAATCTTTGTTATTTAGGGAATATACTACTTTGGAGACAGACTAAACTCCTGTAGCAACAAGATACCAAAATATAATGTCTTAAGAAGCACTTTATTTCTCTCTTGAGTAACAGTGTGCAGTTGAGGGATCCAGGGCCAGTGGGAGTCTCTGCTCCATGTCTTCTCCTAGACACCCATCTTTAGTGGCTCTTACTCCCATGCATGCTCAACGTAAGGCCTCTATTCCTGGTTCCATGGGAACTGCAACGGTGTTATTTTCCAGGCAACTCAAAGGGGCGAGGAAGTGTAGGCAAGTTTGATCTTTAAAGTGGTGACTAAATAGTAGTGTGGCTATAGAATTTATTGTCCAAACCCGAGCAACTTTGAGGGGAAAAGGGGAGTGCTAAACATGCTTATATACTTTTTGAAATATTTATTATCAGCAGACAATTTATTTTTATTTTATCGGTAGATCTAAAAAATTGTTCTAAAGAAAATTATAGTTTTAAAAATAGCTTAAAAGGAAACTGTTGGCTGCGTTGTGTGCATCCCAGAGAGGGTTAAGAATAGAGAGACTGGTTATATTACTGGACATCATTCAAGTACAAGCTTCTGTCACAGTGAGAACCCTTCTTGCTGTGCCCACACAGATGTCTGATGTACTATGAGAGGAAATCGGGAGAATCTGGAAGCACAGAAACCTTCAGGGCCTACCTTAATGCAACCATTAATCAGGTAGTGAAAAGTGAAAAATTCTGGGAAAAATCCTAAACTAGATAGGAAACCTAGTTTTTAGTTGGATAATCGTATATCCCGATAAATATCAAAGAACAATTCTAAAAGAACGAGAAGGTGAGAGCTAAACTTGTGTCATCAGAATTCATTGTAAATATTAAAGACATACGTGAACTTTGAAACTTTAACAGTTTTGACATAAATGCAGAGGAATATAATCATGATATCATAAATAATATGTTCTTTATAATGTTTTTAATATTCAGAACATTTATTTCTGTGTATTATGTGAAATAAGTGAAACTTGCTTTAAAGGTAAAAATTTCAAGCCCCAAGCTCTGTTATTTAAGTCAGGATGATGAGAATGATTCAACACAAACATTGAGTAACTATCCAAATTGAATATGAAGAATTGTGTGGCAGTTATAAGCATACCTAAATCATGAAACTGGATTTAAGAAATGTTGGGGCGTAGCAAAGGGTAATTCAAATAATAGAGAAATCTGGGAAACTTCAAATTTTGGGAGGAGGTAAGGACGATAAGGAGGACAGGAATTATCTTGGGAGGCTGGAGAAAAAGTAAGAGAATATGGTGTCTGAAGAAGAAAATATTTCAAGGAGCAGTGATCATGATGTCAAAGGAGTAGATTGAAGACACTGTTGCTAAGCATAATATACCAGGATACCTTACACTTAGAATTGTATTCTTTATTTATATATAAATATATGACCAATGTATAAGTAGTTACTTGCATTCGTCACCTTGATAACTGTTCCAGTGTAGAAGTAGAAGAAAATACACCTGAATGAAATGGGTTCAAGAGCGAATGGGAGTAGAGTAATTGAACACAAAGATTAGACATAAACTGCTAAAAAAGGGGAAATCGGGTTCTAGATGGAGGACAACTGGGATAAAGAAAGTTGTCTTTTTTCTTTCACATTAAATGACATAACTTTATTTTCTTGTTTTTTGATGTGAAGAACTTGGTAGAGCTGAATTTCACAATTTCAGATACAGAAAAAGAAGAGTATTGCTGGAATGATAGGCATGAGTAAGTAGATAACAGGTGTGATGGTTAATACTGGGTGTCACCTTGATTAGGTTGAAGGATGCAAAGTATCATTCCTGGATGTGTCTGTGAGGGTGTCACGAAGGGAGGTTAACAGTTGAGTCAGTGAACTGGGAGATGCAGACCCACCGTCAGTCTGCGTGGGCACCCTCTAATCAGCTGCCAGCACAGCTAGGATAAAAGCAGGCAGAGGAACATGGAAGGGCTAGACTGGCTAAGTCTTCTGGCCTCCATCCTTCTCCCATGCTGGATGCTTCCTGCCCTCCAGTATCAAACTCCAAGTTCTTCAGCGTTTGGACTCTTGAACCTTCCTCAGTGGTTTGCCAGGGGCTCTTGGGTCTTGGGCCACAGACTGAAGGCTACACTGTTGGCTTCCCTACTTTTGAGGTTTTGGGACTTGGACTGGCTTCCTTGTTCCTCTGCTTGCAGATGACCTATCTTGGAACTTCACTTCGTGATTGTGTGAGTCAATACTCTTTAAAACTCATATATATATTATATATATATGTGTGTGTGTATATAATATATGTAATATATATTTATATATTTATTTATTTATCCTATTAGTCCTGTCCTTCTAGAGAATCCTGACTAATAAAACAAGTGGGCAAGCCTTAGTCACAGTAAGAGGAGTGGACATTATTTAGAAGCAAAGATAGTTCACCCATATGGAAATGAGATGTAACAGAATGTAGGTATGGATATATGAAGGTGAGCAGCTGTAGCGACTGGAGATTTTGAAGTTCTTGTCAAGCATTATTACTTCTTTGCAAGTGAAATAGATAATAAAGTCATCAACAAAGTAAAAATGCAAAGCAGAAAAACATCATCTGGGAAAGGATGAGAGTGAATGGAGCAGGGAATATTATTTTTTTCTGGGAAATATAAAGACATGAGCTTTGGGATCATGAATTTCAGTTGAAACAAATCAACCTGATTTATGACTTGATAGGTCATTACTTTTTAATGCTGAATACTATTTCATTATTTGGATATATTACAATTTATCCATTTACTTAACTAAGGATACCTTGGTTACTCCCAAGTTTGGCAATTTTTAATTAAGTTGCTATAAACATTCTTGTGCAGGTTTTTGGGTGGACGTGCTGTCACCTTCTTTGGGTAAATACCAAGGAGCATGATTGCTAGATTATATGATAAGAGTTTTGCTTAGTTTTGTGAAAAGCTGACAAACTGTCTTCCAAAGTGGTGTAACATTTGCATTCCTACCAGCATCACCAGCATTTGGTACTGTTTGTCTTTCATATTCATCAGGCTCCATATTCATAAAATTTTGCACTTACTTTTAAAATAAAAGTCATTTCATTCCCTGCTTCATTTCTTAAACATCCTTTAATGAGTACCTTAAAGTCAGAAATCACCAGAAATTGAAAGTGTCAACTATATATTGAGAGCTAAAGACTGCAAAGGAGTGATACCAAATTGGTGATGATTTAAAACCTCAGTTGAAAAATTCTAATAGCTAAAGAAGAGTTATATTTTCACATAGTATACTTAGTGTTTCTCTCTTTACATGTGTTAAAACTTAAGATAGTCTGGAGTATTTATATCTCTTG